TCGGTAAGATCGCCAACATGATCAAGGACGAGCTGTCGTTGAATGGCATGATGTCCACAACGTCGGACAGATTCTGGCGAGCCATTTCGGTCGCCGGAAGCGGTCACCCCTACTCTATGAAGTCTGGAACCTCTTTGGTCCACGCTGTCATGGAAAAGTACTTGTTCAGAGAAAAGATGCTCGCTTCTTGTTTTATGGCACCGGATCCCTTGACTGAAGCGAATAGCCTCCATGATCCCAACTTGGAACACGTGTTGCAGGACAAAGAGAGGCTGTATCAGTACTTGTTCGGAGAGTCCGTAAGAGGAAGCCATGCATATCAGTCCACTGCGGAGCCTCCAGGTGAGAATGAGTCTGAGCGGAGGAAGAGGGAGAAGGTAAGGAGAGAGAACAAAATGCCATGGATGGATGAGTACTGGGGAGTCCTTCAACCAGAACCAATATACTCGAGGACTCAAAGGTGGCACGTCATTGATGACTTTAAGGAGGGTGAGGAGATTTGCTGCGATTACTGTTTGGTCTGCAATCCCATAGACTCCGATTTGAAAGACGATTGCTATGCAGAATGCATCAACGGAGCAGCAAATAGGTGCCGTGGGATGTCCGCAGAAGACTACGCCCAGAAGCGATTCCATGCATGCGCGCGATTGCTTCACAACTTCGGCATGGGGCAAACGGTATCTTCTCCCACCGTCATGATCTCCGAGATGAACCCGCACGAAGACTTGATGAAGTTCTTACACGAGGCGATGATCATCTTTAACGAGAATCCAGGTTTCCAGAAGGAGATCTCGTTCTTCGGGGGGATCAGGTTGTCATCAACAATGACGGAGAACTTCTTCAAGACGAGGAGGGGACCCAGCATCCATGTGGAAAAGCAGATAGTCGGCAGCGCCAAGTACTACCAGGGATCATATGACCTTGGCAACGTGTGCTACACCAAATACCTCAAGACCATACTGGAGCCCGATGTATTCCGCACTATATTCGGAGATGATCCCACGGAGGAACGGGTAGGTGACATGGTGGAAGCGCTGCTGGGCATGTTCGAAATTGCTCAACTCTTCAGGCACATGTTCAAGGGATGGGGTGACATCGAAGCTTTGAGGACAGGATTAGAAGAATCCATCAAGCGCGTCACTGCATCGCTGTACGACAGGACAACGTATGAGAACCGAAAGCGATCGACGATCAGGACCTTGGACCCGCACTCTGAAGAGGCGGCAAACGTGGCACTGATTCTCGTTCGCATGAGGACCATGCCGCCTCCTGAATTCGACATCGACCACTTCTTCGAAATTGGGAAAGAACCAGAACAGGGAACAGAGGCTACTGACCAGCCCGAGGCCGAAGGTGTCGATATGGAGACTGAATTTGAACAGGAGAAGGAGGAGCAAGACGTTGACATGTCCGACCCGAAGACATCAATACTGCAAGCCATCGACGAATTTGAGGAGAAGATCGGGCAAGCAGAATTCTGCATCCACTGCATGAAGTCGGGACACACAACTCTCAATTGCGAGAAGACCCCTTCATCTTCACCTACAGTCACCTCAGTGTTGAGTGATTGGAAGAAGAGAGTGAAGGGAGAGGTTGCGCCCGACGATGTACCATCTGGACATCCGACCGAGGAGCCTAAGAAGAAGAAGCAGAGAGCATCGCCTACTCCAGATAGGAAGGTCGACAGCGAGTTCAGGCGAAAAGAAATGTTGAAAGCAAGAGTCGTGACAATGTTCGACCATGACGGATTCACCTTGATCGAAAGTGCTGATGGAGTCGAAGGAGGGACACATTCCTACAATGGGCGGAAGCTTGCGGAAGTAGGCCCTAGGGATATGAGGGTGGTGTACGAATTCGTAGAGAAGGCATTTGTGCACTCCAGTTCCCTCGCGCCAAAGGCATGTCATCACTTCTATCCCCTACCGACACGGAGGGAGAAGGGATACAAGCCGATCGACCCCATGACGATGGTCGGGAAAGTTGAACTAGTACCGATCAACGGAGTCACTTTCGCTGCAACGAACTCCGACTACGGCAACCACAAGTATCCAACTCCATACTGTCGAGTACCTGAATACAGCCAAGCGAGCCAAGCCCTGAGTCGTCGATTGGGAGCGAAGTTGAGACATCGAATTGGACGCCAGTTCAGGACAGGTGGAAGACTCGCACCAATCAAATGCGATGAAGGCGCATGGGTGTCGTGGGAAGACCTGTTAGGTGATAATGCAGTTTGGGAAGACGGTTATCACTACGGCAACGTAGATACCGTGACCAAGAAGGCGCGTTTGGAGAAGTACTTCGACCAGAACTATGAGTGTTTCCGCATAACCAAGAGGATCAGATTCCAAATGTTGGCGGTCCGCGTTCACCCTGACGAACTCAATGACCCTGATGACCCGATGGAGAAGGAATGGATTGACGAACTCAAGGGCATGGGAATCTCTAAAGGAAGACTCCACCACAGCGATGGATGGTGCTTTCCCGTGGCCGTAAGAGCAACCTCAGCACACTCAACGGACGGCGGAGGTTATGACGTTACCATTAACATCGACCACATTGGATCGAGAATGACCAACGACATGGCCCTATCTATGGTGACAGCATTTCACGCTACCAATCTTGGAGCGCTGACTTCAATCATGCGACGGGGGCTAGTGCCAGGAGGTCTCGGTTCATCGGGAAGGGATTCTATCCACTTCACATGTTTTCCGCCATGGGCCTGGGAGCAGGGCTACAAGGGAAAACCTTGGCTGGGTCGTAAGGTCGCATTGAGTGATCGCCCAGTGGTTCTCTACATTCCGGTGTGGAAGCTGCAGGAGTACGGACTTCTCATCTCAGCGACTGGCTCTCTATTGGTTGAGAGCGTCGTTCCCTTCGATGAGGTTAAAGGGGCATGGTTGCAATGCGACAATGCGGAACCCGGACAGCCTGAGGAGATCGAATGGATCAGGTTACTCAATAGGGAACCCGATCCTGGAAGCTACCTTGTTCTGGAGTCCAAATACGGAAACCCGATCATGATCCCACGCTTTCAAAAGCTTGAGAGCTTAGCGGTTGAAGTTCAGGACGATACCTACTCCGAGGACGACGCCAAAATCTCAAAACTGTTGGGTATGATCGAGGAGAGTGGTGTATACCCAGAATATGACAGCACCGAGTGGCAGGAAATCTTTGAGGAGATCGTGTACCGCCGGGCAATGAAAGACTATGACTCAAGGCCGTGTCCTAACTGTCTTGGCGAAGTCAATGTGCGGTTGACGATATGTCCACACTGCGTAGCGGTTTTGATCGCGAATGGGAAACTCACGCATGTGGTACCCAAGGAGACAAGGGACCGCAATCAACGATCGCCTCCGAAAGATGTCCCAGCCAGTTCTTCCGGTGAAGCAACTTCTGCTGCAGGTGCAAACATCGATGAAGTCATCAAGAATGCACGCAAGACAGCCGAAGAGGTCATTGAGGTCGAGGAATCCGAAGGAGAGGAAGAGGAGGAAGTTCCTATCATTTTGAAGGAACGACCGGACGAAGCTGAAGGCGAGCCCGAATATCGGGAGGTCCCTCAAGATGGATACGGGAATGAACTTCCACAGCCTTCCCCTTCGCAATTGACGAATTGCCACAAGAAGCTGCGATCCCCATCGACCACAACTTTGCAGTCACACAACAATTTGATCTGAGGTTGATGAAGTTGATCAAGAGCTTGGCCAACGCAACGTTCGACATCAACTGCTTTGAGAGTCGTGATGATGTGCTGCGAAAGTTCGACGATGGACAGCGGCATGACACTCCATACAATCGATGGCCAATAGTACCGAATGATCCGGATACTGGGTTTCCAAGACGTCTCCAGAGAGCCGAGGTCGTAGGCATGAGCAAATGGACCAACGACGTGTTTGCAACAGAAGCGTGGCATATCTATGAGTTCCACGCCCACGTTGTTCACCCGATGATGATCACCGCAATACGCTGCGGGCTCAGCCACAAGTACCTCAAAGAGGTCGGCAGCACTCGGCGCAACATGAGTGATCCAAAGGCTCGAAGGTCTGAGACCCAGGAAGAGATCATCGAGAAACTGGCATTCATCTCAAATTTCATCAGACGCTTGATCAGGAAGACCTTCGGAGCGAGCCGATATAGTTACTACCAGAAACCAGATGACGAAAGTACCGCTCCATACAAATTCATCGACATTAGCCCCGCCATCAAATCGGAGCGAAAGAATGTCACGAAGGAGATCCTCGTTGCATGCCGCTACTACGGCATAGAGGTATCCGATATCCAAGCGCAGAAATTGAAGTTCTTCGAGGAGCAGATCCGAGCGGGAAATCCGAGGAACGTTGAGCTCATCAAGGACTACATTGGCTTTGTCGGCGCTGACTACATGCGACAACTCACGAATGGTTGAGCATTGGGGTCATACCGACATGCCACTTCTGGTACTTCGTGTACTGAGGGATCTTGGGTAATTCATGGTGACCGTTTTGGCATCATGGGAGTGAGATAGGATTGTGTTTCACACCGCTGGTAATCGCATGATACCATAGGTAGGTGCACGTTTTCCGCTTGTAGCTCCATTACCTGTTTGATCCAACTTTCAAGCGAATGCAAGATCGTTTGCTAATTCGGTTCAATAGGACATACTGGTTGACCTCCAATACACTTTTGAGAACGTGATCCGTTCTCCGGTTTTTTGTTTACATCCACTCATCTCCCTTCCCCGTCGAAGTACGGATGTGGGGGGTGTCAATAGGGATGAGGTCCCAGTATAGTTGCTATATAGGTACATGCCATATACTTTTGGCTCAAGTGCCCAACCAGGTAAAAAGGAGCTTTAGCGCGCGAGCTTCATGTTGAACTAAGGGCTAGAACGGGGCCAGGGCACACCTTTTCATCCGTTCGCACACTATTAGCGGTGGTGAACACGAACCAGAGGTAGTTGCTCAGACGCTTCGGGCATTTAAGTTCTTCTCAACCTGCACACCGCGATCCATTTGATCCAGGAGTGGTGACGAGCACATCAAGGCAGTCTTTTGCTTCGAGTCTTTCCAAGACCATAGACGTAGGTCAGTAGGTCAGTAGGTCAATGTAGGTGCATTTGCATGTACAAAAGAAGAAGCATGGAAGAACTCTGACAAAAGTAATCATCATTCTGTTTGGTTTGAATAAGCTTGTTGAGATTATGGTTTGTGCCATTCAACAGAATCTGAAAAAGACCTCTCAGGCCACCGCGGAGTTGATCCGGCAAAACCTGGCTCGAGATAAGGCAGATGCTTCTCTTTTAGCGGAGAATGCATGGGTTCGACACCTGCAGCACTGTCCAGTACAGCAGGATAAAGATCAAGAGGAGATGCATGATCAATTGGAGAACGCTGGGTTGGAGGCACGAATAAGACTTCCGAGAGTGATATCTTTGTGAGCCAGTTTGCAGTGCTTACTCCGTACGTTGGTCTTGGACAGGCGCTGGGAATGAGTGACACCTACAAGTCCTTTATGGAGGAACGATCCAAATCCCTTGAGGAGAATGCTGTTGACTGTTGACTTGTGGCTTGAAGCGTCAAGGTCGGTTTCAAAGTCTCAATGGTCACAATACTTGCCAGGAATTGAAGAGTGGCACTAAGGGTCCAGCGTTGGTGGACTTGCGACTCCTAGTTGCCAAGATCAGAAAGCTGAGCGGCAACTTGGAGGAAAAGCAATGCTTCACTCGATTTGCATCGCATCGCGATTTGTGATTTTGAGGTCAATGAAGTTTGATTTGTATCGATTAGTTCTATTTGTTTTCACTCTTTGTGTCACTTGGCTTTTCGAACAAGGCGATTTGACCCAAACGGCAACGAATGCAGCAAGGGCCCTACCGGAGCTTGCAAAAGCGACATCAAAAAACACCCTCAATGCGTGTGCTGATGCATTGGGCATCCTTGGGCACTTGCCCTTTGGTTTACAGGAACAAGAAGCTACTAGGAACAAAGGGCATCGCTACTAGGAGCAAGGACACTACTAGGGGCTCCTGGCATTACTACTAGGAGCAAGAGGACGCTACTAGGAGCAAGAAGTTTCTTTTTTCTCGTTCACTTGAAGCTTGGACAGGCCAGCGTCGTGAGGGAAGGCAAGGAGAAACTCGCTCGCCGTGAGGCGGCAGTGGAGCTATCTCAGCGCATACAGGAGACGTCAAGACTGAAGCATATAGTAATTTTATAATATGCATTGCACGGTGGGTGGCACAGCATCAGGCTGCTCTCATTACCTCACACTGCTATGCCGCTTTTTCGTGCATTGGTAGCATTGGCCATGCGTAGTCAATTGGCCATGAGCAGTACACTTGACACTTCGCACAGGACACGTTTGCCCTGTATGATGCGGATGATGATGGCTTTTTGTCCAAGCAAGAGGTCATCCGGTACGCCGAAGGCAATTGTGACCAAAGCAACAAACAGCCTTGCAATTCCACGTTGCTCATATTTCGTGATTTTCAATGCTCCATTGAAGGTGAATTTACATTCACACCTCCAGAATCTTGCATAGCACCTTGCCGAATTGGTAAGACAATGCCGGAACGGTTCAACAGAATGACATGTGCGCATGGCGACAAGCCACCAAGCGGCATGGTGACTTCCATGCACTGCCTTGGAAGCTACACAGAGAACTTAGAGACCTAGAAACTACAGGAAACTTCCAAGCCAAAATCTATACTGTAGGTGTGACTTGACTCCAAAAAAAGTCGACTGCGACAGTAAAACTGAGGAAAGACTCTGGAGAAACTTGGTCACTCCAGGCAGGTCAATGCAGAAAGAAAGGCTTTTCTGAAGTAACTTCAAAAAGAACGAGAGCTATGTGCGGCGGAGGCAAATCTGGTATCGCCTTTGACTGCTTCCAGCAGATGAAGGTGACGATTGGCGCTGCGCGTGTCATAGAGAAGGCGCTGCTCGAGCTATGCTCTAGCTGTGTGCCAAGCTTGGATCAGTTAAGCAAAACACTTACACGGTTTTCCAGGAAAGAAGAAAAGCTCAAAGCACCACCTAGAGGCCTGTCGCCTTGTGTATTTTTTTGCATTTTTTTACAGCAACATATTAAACGTGTTTGAACTGTGGAAGCGGTTTTGAACCTTGCGAGCATACAAACAAGTACTTGTGTGACACGTTTTGGTCGCCCCTTACAACCACACACCTTCCTGATGCACGCCAGGCTTGCACCAAATGTGATGTAGAGGTGTTGATTTCCGTGGATTTCACTATGTTGGCTGTAGATCACCAATAGGGCGCCATCACGTGCCATCCAAGAACTAAGAACCCTTTATGGGGAAATACACAAAACCGAAAGCACGGCCTGCTCTGGCACCTCGGCAGGCAGCCGCCACTCTGAACTGAGCAGCGTGCTGAGCTTTGTTAATGGAATGCTTATAAGTAGGGGAGTTGGCGATTGGTTGCTTGACACAGTGGGTGACACACTTAATTAGTTTGTCTGTAACGTTTGACCATAGAAATTACAGAAAGAACCTCAGTGGTGCGGCCAATGAATGGCTCTGGAAAGGGAGCCCTAGATAATTATTGGCTGTGCAGCTAGATCGAAAAAGCACAAGACATGGGGTGTACTGTATATAGTGGATGCTTGAACTTGAAGGCATACAGCAGTCTTGCAATATTGCAATGCCAAAGGTGGCAGGCTTTGAAGCAAGCTTGTGGAGTTCAATGATGTAAAAGATGGATATTGTTTTCCTGCGTGGAGCAACGAAGCCTCGCTTCAGATCTCACCTGCACTCGGCATTGGATGTCGAAGATAGACAAAAAAATCCGAGCACCAGCATTGCCAGAGCAATTTAAACATTTGGTTTGTCCTCTTGCAAACTTTGGCTACTGATCCAGGCAGATTTGGCTCTTGTTGCCCTTTTGGCTCATACTATAGCAACCCATCGTGTTCCAAAAACAGCTTTTGGGCAGAGTCATTTCTGGATGAAAGGTCATAAATACTGAACATGGCTGAAATCATTTATGATGTATTTGCATGTATGATGTAACCTTTAACGGGAAAGGCCCATCCGCAGGCAGTTCTGTTGGCGGAAGAATTCCGGCTCTCCGAACCGTCCAACTTTCAACTGATTCCCAGGCTCCTAGGCAGTGTCCAACTGGAGCAGAGAACTGCTCAAGCCAAAGTGTCGCCAAACAGAACGCCTGCACCAGCACAACAGAAGGAGCCGCAGCGGGAAAGCCACAGTAGCCCAGCCGAAGCCCACTGAAATGAATTGTGGTACTATGCAAGGAATCTGAGGCCTACAGTCTTGTGTAGGCACCTGCCATTAATTTCTGGGATGTCCTGGTGGCCGGCGCAGATGTAGCCCCGCCTTTTACTTCCGCATGCAGCTGCTCCAGCATTCAGGATTTTTGGGTTTGGAGTGTGACTCAAAAGCTAACCAGGCGTGTGAATGATTTCTGTTTGAAAGATGTTGAAAGACCTTGGCCTTGCACCTTTAACGCAGGACATTTTGCGGTGGCGATGAATCTTGCAAGACATGCCCCTGGCTGAGACTTAAAGGCTGGACTGCCCCTTTGGCCCTTTTGCACTGCAAAGATCAACAATTAAGACAATGTTCACGTTGCGGAGGCCACTCTTTCGATCCGCAGAAATTAGAAACAAATATGCGCAAAGCATTTTGGATGTGACAGGCGCATTTTTGTCTGAGGGAATGTTTGTTTGGGTCCAGCTTCTCCTTAGCTAGACAGGCGGTGTTTATTGGTTCGAATGCATGCCTAGGGCATTTTCGACGATTCCAGGACACAGTTTATTTGTGCCGGCAATTCATTCAAATTATATACGTAGATCAGAATAATTGAACATGGAAAACGGGCCGAATTGAGTATAGTAGGACAACATGTGAACAAAGCACCCTGCCGCTGGTAGGAATGGAGCTCCCAGTGCTGCCTGAGAAATTGGAGGAGGGCCCCGTGACTTGATTTGATTGATAAGCATGATTCTTCAGCTTCGAATTGTCCTGCAAGGACACCATGGGTTTCTATTGGTGTCATGTTTTTCTGATAATGAGTCTGCTTTTCAGCTGAAGAACCCTTGCATGCTGCTAGCTTGAGTTTGTTTTCTTGTACCCAGGATACGTTTGCATGCTATTTCAGCAAGCAGAAGATGCTATCACATAATCTCACATATACAGCGACCTTTAAGCATTGTGCGACGGAATGTGTGCAAGAGATTGCAAGAGTATTGATGCCGCTATCACATGTTATCACTGCGGAGCAACATTGCAGTTGGTCCATGCTGGTCCCACAGTTTCATATTTTGCTCATTTCTGCAGGAGACAAAGCGAAGAATTGAAGAGGCAAAGGCCAGCTATTGCCAAATTGCCTCTAAATCTTGAATCAGCCGTTGCTTTATAGTTGCTTGTATCATAAGATATTTAAGGGCTTACGCCCGACAGCCGGCCAGGGGCGTTGAGGTAGGGGGCTGGAGGGTGGAAGATTGGGTGCGGGTGCAGGCTGAGGGAGTGGATGTTGGGCGGGCTTGGGGCTATGTTGCGCACAGCTTGGGTCTAGCTTAGGCCATCTGGAGCCTTTGTTGCGCGGTCTTGGGGCTACGTTGAGCGTAGCTTGCGTCTAGCTTGGGCCATCTTGGGCCGTTGCTTTATAGTTGCTTGTATCATAAGATATTTAAAGGCTTACGCCTAACAGCCGGGCGCCGGCCCACTTGGGTCTGTGTAGGGCTGGGTCCTGTCTCTCTCTCTCTCTCCCTCCCTCCCTCCCTCCCTCTCCTCTCTCTCTCCTCTCTCTCTCTCTCTGTCTCTGTCTCTGTCTCTGTCTCTGTCTCTCTCTCTCTCTCTCTCTCTCCCTCTCTCTCTTTGAAACTGTGTGGGGCCTATGTTGCCACATCTTGAGGCAATCTGGGCCCATCTTGGGGCTATGTTGCCCATATCTGGGACCTAGGTAGGGTCATTTTGCGGCTATGTGTGCCATAGGGACCTATGTTGGGTCCTCTTGAGGGCCTCTGTCAGATCATCTTGGAGCACATGTTCCGCCTTTGCTGTTGGCGCGTGCCCAACACCCACGAAATGTCGATTAAGCTTGTCCGCGCGGCGCGCATAACCGACGCCACCCTTGAAAAACACAGCATTTTGGCATTTCTCCCTCTACACCGCGTCGCACTTCGATATGCGCAATAAACCCTGTAAAGCACAGTGTTTTTTTTCCTCACACACACACGAAGCACTGTAAGTTACAGGGGCTTCAGTGCCGAGGAAGTGGGAAGGGGGTCCGGGCCCGAGGGTCGGCGGCAGGGGGCGCGAGCGTATATCACCTTCGGTTACCACCGGGCATGCCACGGGCTCCGTGGCCGGCGCCCGGATATAAGGGCTGACGCCCCCTGCCGCCGACCCCAGTCAGATTGCGTGCGCAGCTGGCGGTTGTAGGCAAGAAAAGCATGTCCGGAAGATGATTGTGGTTTTAACAGTAGTAGTGAAGAACAGGAATAACAGAATAACAGTATAACAGAAGTCGAAGAGCAGAACAGCAGTAGAACAGTATAATAGCATCCTCTGCCGAATAACCCCTATAGAATGGGGGAGATCGAGCTCCAAAATGATCTGGCACTTTATAGAGAGTTCTTTCTAAAATCAAATGTCAACCTGAGGATCTTTGAGGTGAGAAAATCATATATTGATGGGTCAAAAGGTTGATCACCCTCATTTTATAGAGAATACATGACAATTGAGGACATTTTATAGAGGACAGGGTTTTGATTCTATAGAGAGAACCTGGAACAGTAGAAGGTTGAGAGTTTACTTTAGAGTGGATGGATGTTTTACAGTGAGGTAGGTTGGATTCTGATTCTGATTTCACGAAATATCCGGCGCATTCTTGTGCAATCTGGTGCATGCATTCCCACATTTCCTGTGGAATAACCGGTGAATATTGGCCCACTATAGAATATTTTTTTGTTCAAAATTCAGCCCACCGTTCTAAAATAAAACATCAACCTGTGAGTGTCCAACCCTGTCCTTATAAAATGCATATCAACCTCTATAGACATATCATATCTTGTTTTTGGAGTCTGTCCATTAAAAAAATGGATTTCAACCTTGCAATGTTCAATCATGTTTCTATAGAATAAAATGCAAACCTCTTTTGCCATTGCTGCCTAACTTTCCTCTAACGTAATATGTCAGCCTTGATGTTACACCCACTTGTCTAGAGAATGAGGACCACCCCTGGCTGTTTCTATTGGATAGTTCAGATTTTGAGCCTACAATTCTGTTACATTAGTGCCTTAAAGGTTGACTCCCTTTATTCTATAATTAGAGAAACTATGCTGTACACTACAAAGGTTGAAAGCTAGATTCTATAGTGGGGCATTGTGCTCCCAGAGCCTGGTTCAGTCATTTATCACTAAATGGGGTTCTCAACCCCCACCGGTTATTCCACAGAGGATATAATAGCAGTATAATAGCAAAAGAGTGCACCAGGAGTATAACAGTATATTTTGGAGTCGTTGTAGAAGATGATATGACAACAGTCGTATACAGCTAACAGTCGTAGCTAACAGTATCCGGGTTTACCTTCCTTGACGGGGTTTACCTTCTTGCCAGGGGTTTGCCCCGTTGCCTGAGGTTTACCTCCCTTGACCACTTTGGAAAGCTCCCTTCGCCACGTTTTTACCCAATCTAATTCCGAGCCAAAACTGCCCGCAAAACGGTCCTCGAAACAGTTTGGCAGGGGCAAACGTCACCTTTGGGCGGCGGTAACAGTAGTAGGGAACAGATAACAGACTTTGTCGAAGATGATATATGATAACAGTCATATACCGTATGCAGCTAACAGTCGTAGCTAACAGTAGTCGCCCGGGTTTACCTTCTTGCCAGGCATTTACCCCCGTTGCCTGAGGTTTACCCCCCTTGTCTCGGGTTTACCCCCGTTGCCTGAAGTTTACCCCCTTGACCACTTTGGAACAGTTCTAAACGCAATTGGACAGGATTCTCTGGCGCGCTCCCCCGGCGGCGGGGTCGGCGGATATAATGCCTAGAGCTT